AAGCCCTTAATACATTTTATCGATGTATAAATTAAAAAAAACGACAGCCACCATTCAATCATTAAACAATTGATCGATCTACGGGAGACATCCTGCTAGTAAGAGAAGGCCCACAGGGTACGCTACGTCACCGCGTATTCGACGGAGATGTTACCCAGCCACTAAAAATTGCTATAGAATTGTGGGATATCATCGTCTTCGCTATTTGTGCTTTGTTTTACTAAATGTTTACTGGTTGATGAACAATTTCTAATTGAATAGTGTTGTTCATAATTGTTACCTTTGGTTGCTATTATACGTGTGAGTATTTCATTGGAGGATTTATCGACCTTTTCCCTTCACAGAGGCCAGGATTTTTAATACACTTCCCTCTATCAACAAAGCGCGTCTGTGACGCATAAATGAGCAGAGACGTCCGTTCGCTGGTTTCCGCCTCAAGTGTCATGGCGCAAGGGACGCCGGGATCCAGCAAAGGACGTCCGTTCGTAGCGACGATAATGTTTTTTTTCCGTCGATAAACTGTTTTTAATGATTTGTTATGTTCTAAATGACGAAAGACTGCACGACTAAAGAAATAGGATTATTTGAACGACATTCTCTACGCTCTGACCCGCCACGTCATTTTAAAGCCACAGAGCGATTCGTCGTTAGAGGGAGCGATTCAAAAAACAGTCACAGTGTAATTCGCGGGTTTGGTTGGATATTTCATTCGACCGCAACCTAATATATCGTGTGTTTTTTTTTAAATAACACATGTATTTGTTTTTCTTTTATTCCAGGCTTTGGCATCACCAACACTTGAAAAATACAACCAAATAATTAAATGCATTTTTAACAACAACAAAAAACTAGTACATTATTTTAATCAGATTAAATTGGCCGCAGCTGTCCTGGACAATCGAGCATACTTACACAAGATTATATCGTGGAGTCCAACAAGTTCATGACATCAAAATTGTGGTATCATGCGATTCAATGAACAAATGTTAAGATTGTTTATACATATAAATGTATGCTGAATGTGTATATGCTACTTAAATTGGTCGGAAAATCACTGTACACAAGACGTGACTACGACCCGGCCCTATTTACCTTGGCACGCCATCAGTGTCGGATTGCCTTTCTCATTCTCCATCCAGCTGCTTACGTCACGTGACACTGAATTACGGACGCTTGGTGTTACATAATCTTGTGGGTATTTGTATGGTTAATTTTAAGAGATTATCAGTGCACAGTTTCATCGGACGCTGCTCAATCTTAATCATGCAAATATTGGATTAATACTAGTACCCGGTGATACACATGACACGCGTCGTATAACGTCACAGCAAACGATCTACGCATACTCACACAGTGCATGCATGCGTTGATTATACTTCGTAGGAAACTCGTTACACATGTTAGAAGCGGTCGATGTCAGGTTCAATAACGCCGCCTTTCTTCATATTTAAACATGTCGTTACAATTGCACTCATTCAGTCACACGGCATACCCTGTGTATAATTGTATTTGGCATTACTATGGCAACGCATACTGTCGGATTATCGATTCTGTAATTTGATTGATTTAATTGCTTCAGTGGTAAAGCTGTCGAGTAATTGTTTCGATTGAATCAATAATGCAATTACTGTGGATTGGCAGATACAGCGCCCTCGCCGACCGACACACCCCTCTATACCTCCGTCGCGGAGGGCGCAACTCACGTAAAAAACATGTTATCAGTTTGTTTTTCTGTCCTTATTATTAAAGTATATATTCTATGGTTTCAAAATTAAAAACAATTTTAATATTATCATTCACTGAACAAGTCGATATCTTGGAACAAGGTGGTAATGTCAAAGAACAAACTAATA